GCCAGGTTTCAGCACTTCATAATGCCCCAATCCGCTGAAGTTTCCACCAGCAACAGAGCGACTATCTTCTTCCCTTGGATATCAGGTTTGGGAATTAGTTTTGAGGAGTCTGCCCAGCAGATAGCCATTGATTTTGCGTTTAACGTTCTATAATAGTTGATCCACGTTTAAAATCAGAAGTCAAAACCTATGAAAAAGTCGTTGATTTACATTTTTGTAGCAAAATTGAGGCGACATTGACACGGGCCATTTTGTTGCTTTAGGTCGGTTCGTGAGAGACCCATTTTCCAACTCGATTCTTTTTCCCAAGTTTGTGTAAACTAGTTTTCGATTGTCTACGTATGGGATACTTCAAATATTTCCTGTTAACTCCACGAACGGTGAGTGTTGGGCCGATCTTCAATTAAGGCGAGCAAGTCATCGTCGACCACTACCGGAGGATATTCCTTGGTGTGGCTCGTCTACGAACTTTCATCGCCGCCTTGGAATCTTTGAAACCATCGTTGACATTGCCGAATGTATATACTTTCCTCTCCTAAAACAGTGATGATCGTGCGATGAGATTCAGCTGGTGATTTTTCCTTATTTAAAATCGTAGAACAATGAAAGCTCGAATACGGAATTTTGTCCTCCATTTTTGCCAAAAAGCAAATGATGAAATTTGGAGCACTAAATGTTATTTATACGAACATCTTTTACTTTGTATATATGCAAAAAGAGGGAAGAAAACAGCGCTTGAAATTAAAAACATGTTAATTAGTGACGCGTCATTATTAAGTTACCAGCTTCCTAATAGATTGAAACAGATGGATATCCTTCAGGTGAAAATCTGTGGTGTGTTTGATGGCTTAAAATTTTTGAATCTATTGGCTGGGTCACCTTGATTTCTCAAGGGCCTCAGATGGGTTAGGATTTTCCAGAGAGTCCTGGGTCCAGAGATCTTTCGTAATTCCTGGGCTAAAATCAGCCTTTCTTAGCTTAAATTGATAAGTTAATGAGGGATTAAGGTCGGGCTAAGATCCGGACTTAGGCTCAGGCTAAGATCCGGACTTGGAGGCTCGGGCTAGGAATCGGACTCGGGCTCGAGCTAGGAATCGGACTCGTGCTCGGGCTGTGATCGAACTCGGGCTCGAGCTGAATCCCGGCCTCGTGCTCGACTGTAATCATTGATCGAATCCGATCGCTTTCGAAAAATTACCAATCCCTGGAGCCGACGCGATCTACTACGAGTGGGGTTGTGGAGTACTTTGTGTCCCTCAGTTCCGAGAGCACCGTGACGACTACCGATGCTGTCGTGGCGATTTGTGCAACAGCAGGGAATTGGACTCAACGACAAATCTGTCCCTTGGGTATCTACATCAACCGGATGAGGATATTTGCTTTCTGTGGCTCAAGGAATCAGTGAGTTTAGCAGCGAAACAGAACGTTTCAATGCACCCATCTTTTCAAACCTCATTTTTCAGAGGGTCCAATGCCTTCCAGTCGATCAGTTTGTCAAGAACAAGAGCGATCTTCAATCGATTCACAACGCTTTTCAAAATCAAATGACTGTGAGATACAAGAGAGTTTGTTTTTGCTTTTGCCTTAAAAAATTGAAATACCTTAATACCTTATGGCCTTTTGCCTTAATGCCTTATGGCTGAGCTTTTCAAACGCCCTATTCCGCTTCTACCGCTTTGGTTAGTGTTCAAAGATCCGATTTCGTTGATTGATTTATTTGATAAAGAGAGAGATAATTTCTAAGAACTTGGAATTTGACTAAATGACTTTCTTAAATTCTAATTTCTAAAATTTCTACGATTGACCTATCGTAAAGCGAGAATTCCGAGTTATTTGGTGATAGCTTTCGGGCAGAAGCTGGTTGGGTGCCTCGAAAGATGAAATTAGCGGCGAATGGTCGTGGGTTGACAGGACACCGTTCGACTATCAACACTTCCAATTCGCAAGTCAGTTAAAGGCAAATCGATAAACAAAGCGAGTGAAACAAAGCATTGAGCGAAATTGAATGACAGATGAAGCATGTGTTTTTCTGAGTCGAGTTGTTGGGTTTTGAAGACGAAGGGAACTAGATCACAGGCAATAATGCAGATCTGCTAATCCGCTTAACTTTGTTGTACGCTGGGTCTAAGAGCTATCGCAAAAGTTCCCAGGCTGGGTTTTAGTGCGTCAGAAAAGTTCTGTCTATCGTAAAATAGGTTCTGATTCTGTCTATTTGTCCCATGGACGATTCTGTCCCATAGACGATCCATTTGAAAGTTTCACTCGATCTGATAAGTTTGCAGAGATTTCAATTTCAATTTCAAAAAAGAAAGCTTTCAATTTAGACGTTTCCGGCTCTTGTGCTTACCTGGATCCATCGGGAGACTCGTCGTGGAGGATTGCCGACTGTGAGACGCCGATGAGCGACCCTGTGCGTCGTTCCACCGTGCGCCGAACTGAGAAGTAAGTCCTATTCCCAAGTTACACCAATCAACATTCCACCAATCAAAAGTGCGGAGGGGAAGAAATGGTGGTATTATAGCAGAGAATGCAGGGTGTGCCAGAATTACGGCTATACCGCTTTATACCAGATTTACCAAACCATGAAATCAATTCAAAAACCCTAAGTGTTATATAGAGGATTAAAGCCTGAATTCTTGTCTACATTTCTGTACCAAAAGATCTTTGATTGGAGTTTTTGTGTAGCCCATTTTTCAGCCCAATAGCTAAAAATGGAAGTGTGCTGGAGGCTGATCGAATTGGGTTTATTTGAGAGTCTGAAAAATCGGCTGCAAAAACTCCAATCAAAGATCTTTTTATACAGAAATGTAGACAAGAATTCAGGCTTTAATTCTCTATATAATGCTTAGGGTTTTTGAATTGATTGCGGCGTTTGCTGCTGAAAAGTTGTAACCGTAATTTTGGCGCGCCCTGTATTCTCTATTATGATACCACCATTCAAATCATTTTTGATTGGTGTAGTGTTGATTGGTGTAATGTTGATGTGTAACCTGTAAACGGAATAAACGGAACGGATTTAAGTTGCCCTTTTCCAACGAATGAAGCGACAAAATTCGAACGATGACACGGAAAAAACAAATTTCCTTTTTTTTCACTATGCAAATTTGTAAAGTAATGGAATTGTAAAACGTGAAATCTTTGTAATAAGCTTTCTTTGAAAAGTAAAAATAAGCTTTCTCACCTACAAATGCTTTGTGAAACGAATCGACTCATAGAAAAAGGCAAACTTTCTCCTCGACAGAAAATCTATTCATTTTCTCTATGATCATCAATTTTGATTAGAATAAAAACATTTTGATTAGAGTAACATTGCGATTTTTGGCGCTTTCCTTTAGTGTTCTGATTCTATGGCTATGAAATCAAGGGTCAAGCAACAACAACAATACATCAAACAATATACGAATTTACGCCAAAAGTTTCCATGCTTTTATTTTCTGCATTTTGATAATTTTAAGATAAAAGATACGATTTAAAGAGATAAGAAATTCAGATTCCCTCGCGAAAACGGATTTAGAAAACGTTTCTGGTGGATTTATAAGTGCAACGCTTTATTTAAGACAAGTGATTGAGAAGAGGGTTCGCTCAGAGGCGCTGGTCCGGCACAGTTACAGGAGCACAGTTACAGGGCACAGTTGGGGAGCACAGTTACAGGGCACAGTTACAG